TTCAGCTTTGCTGCCCAGAGCTGGGCCTCTGTGCCCGTCCCACGCAGATCAGGGGTTGAAAACCGGCTTTCTAGGGGCTGGTTCTAGCTGCGCGTGCCCAGAGAGGGACCCAGGCCCTTGGGGGAGGGCTGTACCTGTTGGAATTGGAGCCATTCAGCTTTGTTGCCCAGAGCTGGGCCTCTGTGCCCGTCCCACACAGATCAGGGGTGATAAAGAGTTTATAATAAAAATATTCCTTAGAATTTAGGCCTATTTCTAACACTAGGCACAAAAGTCAGATCAAAATGGATTAAAGATATCAATATCAGACCTGAATCCATAAGGTTCATGGAGAAAAATATGGGCAGAAATCTGCACATTGAAGCTAAAGGCATCTTCAAAGACGAAACACCACAGACCAAGAATGTGAAAGCAAAGATAAACAAATGGGACTATATTAAACTCCACCTCAGAAGAAACTGTGACCAAGATGAAAATACAGCCCACAGATTGGGAAAAAATATTTACCCAATACCCAAAAGATAAGATGATAATATCAAAGACATACAAGGTACTGGTAAAAGTTCACAAGAAACATCCAACCCCATCAAAAAATGGGAAGAAGAAATTAAGAGAAACATCCTCAAAAAAGAAATATAAATGACCAAAATATACATCAAATAATGCAATACATAGTTAATCATCAGGGAGATTCAAATGAAAACAATGATATCATCTTACACCAGAGACTGGCATACAACAAAAAGAAAAAGAGCATACAATTCTAGCATGGATATGGAGAGACAGGGACTCTCCTTAATGTTGGCGGGAATGTAGACTGGCCCATCCTTTCTGGAGAACAATATGGGCATTCTTCAAAAACCCAGAAATTGAGTTTCCATACAACTGTGCAATAACTACTTCTGGGAATATACACCAACAGCCAAGTAACACACACTACAGAAATGCCATCTGCACTTCTGTGTTTATCACAGCACTAGTCACAATAGCCAGAATCTGGAAACAACCCATGTGTCTGAGAACTAATTACTGGTTCAAGAAACTATTGTACATCTACTCAATGAAATACTATGCAGCAGTTAGGAAAAATCACTCTCACTCTCACTGTCCTCCCGTTGTTCATCAATTTGCTCGAGCAGGCCCAGTAACATTGTGAGACTTGTTACTGTGTTTGGCATATAAAATACATCACAGGTAGCTTGCCAGGCTTTTCTGTGCAGGCAAGATATTTTCGGTAGTTTGCTGGGCTCTCCGAGAAGGGCAGAGGAATCAAACTCAGGTTGGTTGTGTCAGCTGCATGCAAGGCAAACACACTATCCACTGAGCTATTGCTCCAGCTCTTAGGAAAAATAAATTTATGAAATTCTCTTATAAATGGATGGACATGGAAAGTATCATGTTGAGTGAAATGAGTCGAAAGGAGAAGGACAGACATAGAATGACTGCACTCATTTGTGGAATATTAAAAATATAATATGAGACTAATATCCAAGCACAGTAGAAACAAGAGTAAGGAGGATTAGTCTACAGTTGGAAAACTGCAAGTGCTGGGGAAGAAGGACACTTGAATAAAGAAGGGACCATTATGACAAAGATAGTTGGAAATGTGCACTCTGGATAGGAAGAGAGTGCTGAAAGGAACAAACTTGATAACCTCTCAGTATCTGTGTTGCAGACAATAGTGCCCAGAATGGGAGTGGTGGGGGGGCTAGTGAAAGAAAGGGAGAGAAAGAAAGTGCTTACCATAGAGTCATAGATGCAGGTTAGGTAGGGGCGGGGATGGGAAGAAAATTGGGGTCATTGGTGGTGGAAAATGGACACTGGTGGAAGGATGGTTGTTGATCATTTTATGACTTAAATCTTATCACAAACAGCTTTGTAAATATGTATCTCACAAGACTCAAATTAAAATAGACAAAGAATTAGAGGAGGACATGAGGTAATGGAGACACACTCCCCCGTTCATGGATTGGGAGAATTAGTTTTGTAAAAAATGGCAATATCACAATTATACAGATTCAATATGGTCCCTCTAGGATACAAACCCATGACATTTTTCAAATAAATAGGTCAAACACTCTTGAAATTCATATGGAACAATAAACCCCCATAAATAGCTAAAGCAATCCTTGAGGAAAAGAGATGGGAGTGATCAGAGTCCCCAATTTCAAACAAATTAAAACAGTATAGTATTGGAATAAAGACAAACTTTCATAAAAAAATGGAATAAAGTTGAATAACATGGCACAGACCCTCCAATATATGATCATTTAATCTTTGATAAGGAAACAAGAAATATGAAGTGGAGCAAGGAAAGCCTCTTTAACAAGTGGTTCTGGGAAAACTGGACACTTACTTGTGAAAAAAATGAATTCAGACCTCTATCTAATGCCATGAACAAAGGTCAAATCAAAATGGATTAAAGATCTCATTATCAGACAAGAATACATAAAGTACATGGAAGAAAACATAGGCAAAACCATCCACAGCACTGAAGCTTAAGGCATCTTCAAAGATGAAACACCAACTGACCAAGCAAGTAGAAGTAATGATAAATAAATGTGACTACATGAAACTTAAGAAACTTCTGTACTTCATATGAAACAGTGACCAAGATGCAAAGACAGCCCATGGAATGGGAAAACATATTCATCCAATACCAATCTGATAAAGGATTAATATCAAAGATATACAAGGCTCTGGTAGAACTTTGCAAGGAAAACACATCCAACCCTATCCTAAATGAATAGAATAAAAACTGTCTCAAAGAAATTCAAATGGCCAAAAGGCACATGACAAAATGCTCTACACTGCTAGTCATCAGGGAGATGCAAATCAACAATGAGGTATCTTGTCATACACACACACACACACACACACACACACACACACACACACACACACAACAATAACCAGTGCTAACGCAGAAGTGGGGAGAAAGGGACTCTCATTCATTGTTGATGGATATGCCGACTCGTCCAGTCCTTTTGGAATACAATATGAACATTCCTCAAAAAACTAGAAATTGAGCTTCCATTTGACTCACAATACCACTTCTTGGAATATACCTTGAGGGCCCAAAAGCACATAGTAGGAACTCCACCTGGACTCCTATGTTTATTGCAGCACTATTCATAATAGTCAGAATCTGGTAATAACCTGAATACCCAACAAAAGACAACTGGACTGAATAAAGAAATTATGGCACATCTACACAGTGGAATACTACACAGCTGTTAAGAAAAACTGAGTCATAAAATTTGCCTATAAATGGATGGACATGCTGTGTGAAATGATCAGAAGGAGAGGGACAGATATAGCATGACTCCATTCACTTGTGTAATATAAAAAAATAGTATGAGACTAATATCAGAGGCCAAGAAAAACAGGTGCCAGGAGAACTGGTCAATGGTTGGAATTGACCATTTGTAGAGACAGAGGATAGATAAGATAGAGAAGAGACTGGGATGACAAGAATGCTGGAAATGATCACTCTGGACAAGAACTGAGTGTTGAAATTAGGTAAAGGGATATACATGATAATCTTTCACTATCTGTATTGCAAGCCACAATTACCAAAGGAGACAGACAGACAGGAGACAGACAGGCAGACAAGAAAAGTGCCTGCCACAGAGGCAGGCTGCGGAAGGCATGGAGTTGGGGGTTGGTGGGAGGGAAACTGGGCCACTGGTGCTGGGAAATGTACACTGGCAGAGGAACGGGTGTTGGAACACTGTATGACTGAAAGCCAATCATGAAAAGTTATGTAATGGTCTATCTCATGGTGATTTAATAAAAAAATAAGCTTTAAACATCTGCCCCCTTTTTATTAAAGGAGTAATTAGTGCAATGACGAATTGGAGTAAAAATATGTGGAGGAAAAGTGAGGATGATGATGACAGAGAGATAATACAGGGGAAGACCTTACACACAGCTAACTAGGGTTTGATCCCCAGCACCACACATGTCCTCCCAACTCCCACCAAGAATTATTTCTGAGCACAGAGCCAGTGGTAAGCCCTGACCACAGCTGTGTGTGACCATCCAAAGAACAATTACAAAAAGAAAAAGGGTGAATGAGCAGGACCGGAAATAATCACTAAATCTTTCTGGAACCCTGGAGTATAGTACATTTCTTCTAGCCTTACGAGAGACAGAGAACTTAGACTCTTGCAGTACGTTTCTTTCAAAAATAAAATTCACTTTTCTCCAGATCCTAAAATAAGTCTGTGCATAATAGCTTGACTATCCAAGGAGAAGCAACAAATAAGTATAAGGAATATTAATTTGAGACTGGAATGATGGGCAGTGGGTATGAAGTTGGCCTTGCACATGGACAATGTGGGTTCAACCCTCAGAGGTTAGATGGTCCCGAGTTCCACCAGGAGTACTCAGAGAGCAGGGATCCAGCAATGACCCTGAATACCACTGGGTGTGGTGATTAGACCAAAATAAATACATAAAAATTAAAATACTAGTCAATTCTACATTTCTTTGGAAAATAAAACTCTTTAAAGATATGTCAGAGCATATACTAATTATGGGCTGGAGTGATAGCACAGTGGTAGTGCATTTGCTTTACACGTGGCCGGCTTGGCCAACTCAGGTTCGATTCCTCTGCCCCTCTCAGAGAGCCCGGCAAGCTACCAAGAGTATCTCGCCTGCATGGCAAAGCCTGGCAAACTAACCATGATGCATACTGGATATGCCAAACACATTAACAAGAAGTCTCACAATGGAGTTGTTACTGGGCCCACTCGAGCAAATCAATGAACAATGAGAGGAAAGTGCTACAGTGCTATACTAATTGCAGCCCAAGAAACAAAAGAAGACTACTGAACTGTGAGAAAATGTGCAGTTCACAGTACATAGAAACTGTGTTGACCTAAAGCATGCTCAGCTGTCTTCCCCAGGAGTGGTGAGAAAATTTGGAAGGGAGCACTGGACCTTGTGTGTGGGTGTACCAGAAGCTTCTCCCCCGAGCTTGATCTCACACTTACCTGTTTTTCCAGAACTCCAGTTCCACCTTTGGCGTGGGATTCTCACCTTTCAGGAGTAGCTGGAAAGACTCTCTCTTTAGTACAACCTGAATTTGGTGACTCCATTGGATCACTGCAGATTCAATGGAATAGATGACTGTATTGTCTGTGGAATCCAAGCTGAGAAGAATGGGAATAATTTACCTCTAGGCATTCCCAGAAACAGTATCTCAAAAAATTGTGCTTGAAAAGACAAATGAGTAGACAAAGAAGACTAAGGGGCCTTTTTCCAGACAAAATTTATCATATTTATTCATGTGTATTTATTATATATAAAACAATGGCTATAGATAAAGTTTATCCAACAAAATTGTACATACATACTCACTCAATATTCATGGATCTACAAATATTATAAAAACTAGATTAAATCTTTTGAATTCACTGTCCAGAACACATTTGTCAAGCTCCTAACTTAGCAAAGCAGTCATTCTCAACTTTTTTTAGGAGAGAACTTGTCCTTTTTAAAAAGTTTTATTGTATTTGGGACTGGAGTGATAGCACAGAGGGTAGGGCATTTGCCCTGCACGTGGCCGACCTGGGTTTGATCCCCAGCATCCCATATGGTCCCCCGAGCACCATCAGGAGTGATTCCTGAGTGCAGAGCCAGGAGTAACCCCTGTGCATTGCCAGGTGTGACCCCAAAAAAAGTTTAAAAGAAGTATTTTGTATTAATTTTAGGTTGCCTACCTACTACAATAGCTACATTTTCAGGGACTGAAAATGGGTTGGCCACCTGTAATGCAAATGTGCTACCTGCTGCACTATTTTCTCATCTTGTTTTGTTGAAATCATACCACTTTTTAGCATGTTATTTTTTTTTATGGAAGTCATACCACTTTTTACCATGTCAGTTTTTATCATGACCTCCTTCACCCAGATTATCCATAAAGATAATAAATTTAATATATCTTGGAAATAAACAGGCTTTGCATTTTGAGTATTAAGGCAAATACCCTATCTCAAGGTCCTTTAATTTTGTCATCACTGTCCTCCCGTTGTTTTGCTCGAGTGGACCCAATAACATTGTCAGACTTGTTACTGTGTTTGGCATATTGAATATGTCATGGGTAGCTTGCCAGGCTTTGCCGTGCGGGCAAGATACTCTCGGTAGCTTGCCAGGCTCTCCAAGAGGGGCAGAGGAATTGAACTTGGGTTGGCCATGTTGGCTGCGTGCAAGGGAAACGCCCTACCCGCTGTGCTATCACTCCAGCCCATAATACCCACTATTTTTACTAAGTATTACTATATTTAAGTACTGTTCTAAGTGTTTTACTGATGTTAATTTCATAGGGATCCTGAAGCATTTGGCAGGTACCATACATTTTAAAAATGAGAACACTGAAGACAACTTCTCCCTAAGTCACCCAACTATGACAAAACCTAGAATAAAAGATAGATCCAGGCTCTACACTAATTTCTGGTACCTTTGCATCAGTGCCAATAAAACTTCATTAAGATAACCACTGAAATGATAAAATAACAGATTCTGACATAGTCCTCCATCCACTAATGTTGCTGTGTTGAATCAATGAAACATAATATCTGATTCTAAAATATCAGAAGATTGTTTTCTTACTACCTTTAACACTGGATTTAAAATACAAATATCATGGTATTTTAATTTTTGCAATATAACAAATTTTTCCATATTTAAATATTTATTCCATAAAAACATTTTCCCCTTCACCTTAAAATTTTTATTAGGTGCTTCTTCTGCCCACCAAAAAACAAACAAACAAAAACACCTTCTGATATTAATATAATAATGCTTATAACTTAGGAACCTAACCTGACTTGAAAGAAAAAAAATAAAAATGATAATCTCTTATGATAGAAATGATGGTAGTGGGGCTGGAGTTCTAGTCCAAATAGTAATGTGCTTGTCTTGTCTTGCATGTCATAGACCTGGATTCAATCTCTAACACTCTAGATAGGCTCCCTAAGCACCACCAGAAGTTACCCCTGAGCACAGAACCAGGAATAAGTCTTGAACATAGCCAGATGTGGTCTCAAAAGAAAAGATAAAAAAAAATGAAACAGAGAGAGTTCATAGAAAGAATATCAAGCAGAAGCTGGATAGTGGATAGGTTCATAGAAAGAATATCAAGCAGAACCTGTAACCTACAAAGGGAAGGCTGAGATTTAAAATTCACAGAAGGCTGTGATGTCAAGAGCCACAAAACAAGATTGTTTCTACTTTGAATAAAGTACTCAGAATATTCAAAAGTCTCTATCTACCAAGAGAGGAGGGTCTGGTACTAGAGTGTCACGAGAGTTAGTTCTATGAGATTATTGCTGAGTAAAAGGGGCTGGAGTGATAGCGGGGCTGGAGCGATAGCACAGCGGTAGGGTGTTCGCCTTACAAGCGGCCAACATGGCCGACCCGAGTTTGATTCCTCTGCCCCTCTCGGAGAGCCCGGCAAGCTACCGAGAGTATTCTATATGCCAGACACAGTAAAAACAAAGTCTCCAATGGAGACGTTACTGGGCCCGCTTGAGCAAATCGACGATCAACGGGAGGGCATTTACCTTTACCTAAATGCTAGAAAGAGGTGTGACTGTCTCCAAGACTGGGTCTGGGTTTTTACCAATGATGAAACTATCCTGAAAAGCAAAATATGGAAATCAGCATAACTGCTTTAAGTTCTAAAATAATTCTTATTTGGGAAAAGGCAATGTTGCTGTGAGAAACTTGAAAGTCTTTAAGGTACTGAGTGAGGGCAGTAACCAACACAAAACATATATTGAACTCGGGATATTGGCAAACAGACCAGGCTTGGGTTCAGAACAGAAGATATGCAGAGTCAGGAACAAAAAGCAGTAAATCAAACAGAAACTGATTATCTCCTATATCCCAGAGGCCCGTATGGCCAGGCTCATGGTACTTACAGAGTTTCACTTTCAGAATTCATAAACTCCATTTTTTCTGAGCCTGCTGGAAGAGGTAGCAAAGTTTTCCCCTTAACTTGCTCAAGAATAACCAGAAGATCACTCTGGAGGCTGCGAGCGTGCCTCTGGAGGTCCTGGCTCACCACCTGAGGCCAGTTTAGATTGTTCTTTTCATTGGCCAAGACAGGAATAACCACCTGTAACAGAAATGCACAGACGAGAAAAGCAGGCATTCTATTCCTAAGGCATTAAATGAATTACTTTCGACCAAGGAAAGAAATCTATATGCAAACCTTTTCTGAGGCATCTGTACCTGTAATAATATTAATACTCTAACTTATTCCTAAATAGCAGGTTTTCATTCCCAGCTAGCCAAAGGAATGACTCAGACAAGTCAATCTATTTTCCCACAGATACCCAGAGATACTTCTCACACTTGATATTTAAAATTTGCTTCCCATGGTCCCTGATTGATCATTCTTCTCTCAAGTATAACTCTCGTGTGGCCCTGCATGTCACAGAGTTCTCACCTCTGACCTGGCATCATGTGTGACTATAAACAGCTGTCCATTTCCTCTGTTGACTGTCATGGTTTCAACCATCTCCATGACTCTAGATTGCAACCCTTTCTCTCAAAAACAGGGTGAATAGGAATAAATGAAAGCAAGGAGGACCTTCTGTCTACTAGGTATGAGAGAACATTTTCTTAAAGTAAAAGATATTGAGTTTATAGAGTAAGCATTAGTTTGTTTTGGCCACCCCAACATAGTTGCTCTTTTTTTCGTTTTCATCCCAAGATCAAGAGATATAGATATGCAAACAGATCTGAACAAATGAAAGTCAGATCAAAGACTGTATATACTGAAGAAAAAGTTTCTCTTTCTTAAATCATCTTGTACCACAGAGCAGTCAATACGAATAAGAAAAAGTTTGCAGTTGGAGAAAGGTCAGTGAACTACAGAGTCAAGCTGCTCTTAAACATATTTAGTTGAAATAGACTTTTCTAGCATTTTCCATTTAAAAAGTAGCAATTTAATAGGAATTTTTACCTGTTAACAGCTCAAACTGATATAAAGAAAATACTAGAAAGGATAAATGATATTCAGACAATGTGATACGAAACTACTATGCAAATAATAAAAAAGTGGTATGGAATCATTTATTTGCTGGGTTCTGTATATAATCAATAGTCTGTGTGGCCATAAAACAGAATATATAGACACAACACAAGAAATCTAATGGGGCTATCTTGCCACTTTTATTTTGGGGGAAAAAAAAATACTGAACTAAGACTTTACCAGAGGTGACAATGAATCAAGGAATGAAAAATTGAAGTCTGTAGCACTGTCCTCCCATTGTTCATCGATTTGCTTGAGTGGGCCCAGTAACGACTCCATTGTGAGACTTGTTGTTACTGTGTTTGCCATATCGAATACATCACGGGTAGCTTGCCATGCTTTACTGTGTAGGCAAGATACTCTCGGTTGCTTGCTGGGCTCCCCGAGAGGGGTGGAGGAATCAATCTGGGTCAACCAGGTCAGCCGCATGCAAGGCATACGCCCTACCGCTGTGTTAGAGCTCCAGCCCAAATTGAAGTCTATTCAATCAAATTAAGAAAGGACTATTTGGGTCCAAGGAAGCCAAAGAAGGGAGGATAAATAGGAACTTTCTTAAGATCTCAAAAGACCTTCATTTTATTTGATCTTAAGTATCTACAGTCCTCCAGGAGTTTGGCATACAAGAAGCATTCAAAAAATGTTCAGAAAATGAACGGAACATGTTTTAAGAAGAAATATTGGGGACTATATTTGGGGGGCTTTCTAGTGATAGAAAATAATGAATATAAGTTCTCTATGAAATTAAATATACTAATTCACTGATTCAGTGAATATTTATTGACACTAGCTACGTGCTAGCACTGTTAACATGCTAGAAGATCCAACAGGGACTGTCACTGGAACACTGTATGCCTGAAACTCTCTTATAGACAACTTTTTAAATCACATGCCTGGATTTTTAAAAAGTCAATAAAAAAAGTGAAGCTAGAGTAAGAGGGAACAAGATGATTTGACAGTGATATGATTACGTGTGTATGTATATTTCTATGAATGTGTATGTGTTTTTATCTATTGAAATACATATTTTTCTTAGGAATAAATATCGATAATATAAAGTTAAAAACTGTTGTCATAAAAATATAATATTCCTGGCCCTGGAAAGTTTAAATTCTAGAGAAGACAATCAACAAACAAGTGCTGCAAAAATGAGTAAAGAATGCAAACAAATAAACAAGAAAAGGAAGCAAGTAAGAGAGAAATGAAGGGTGAAGGGCTTGAGATTGTTGTGAATTGAGTGAATGGAGAGAGCCTTATTGAGAAGGTAACATTGAAACTTTGCCTGGGAAGGACAGGGCAGTGCTGTGCATACCCTTGAGAGAAATGTACTGCAGGAGAAGGAATAGCCAGTGTCAAGTCCCTGGTCTGAGAACATGATTGATGGGACTGAAAAGTAGTGCGGATCCCAGAGTAGCTAGTCCAGGCAGGCAAGAAGAGTAAGAGAGAAAAAGTGTCAGCTTACAAATACTACTTGGATTTTAATTTTCACTCCCAAAGAGTCTGCTGGGAAACATAAAAGGACTACTAGTGGTTTAGGCCTATGAATTTAGAGGATTCAGTTTTAATTTGTTTGTTTCTCCCACCCCATTTGCCTTCATGGATCTCAGCAGGATTGCAGTTTGTCAAACAAGTACAACAGGCAAAGAAAAGACCAATAAACCAGGAGTTTATGCAAGAGAATGTCAATGATGCAACACAGCATGCAGGCTGGGTAAGCCTTGGGGGGAAGGGATGTGGATCTCCAGGTTCTTGATGGCTGGTAGCAAGATAGCAGGATTATTGGCTTGTGAGAGCCAGATAGTTGATGGCAGAGGTACAGGTTTGTTTAAGTGGGGCAACTGAGATGGCTGAAAATAAAACTAAAAAGGATGGTTAGTAGTCATGCCATAGGAAGAAATGGCTAAGCTAGAGGATCACGACCACTGGAAGAGAAAGGTTCCAGGAGCACAGAGACCCGGTTATATTTCTTGGAAGAGTCACCAGTGTGACTAATGAAATAACCATGTGTTGAAACAGAAATAATACTGAGAATGACAGTTTAGGTGTTTATTGATTTACACTTATCACAGTGCTCCTGAAACACTTCCATTTCTCTGTGTTTATCTCTATCTTCTCCTTTGTGCTCTGCTTCCCCTATCTATTAATCACTATATCCCCAAATCAGACCCTGTGACTTGTAAAGTCAGATTCTTTTAAGGAATTTCGATTCCTCCGCCCCTCTCGGAGAGCCTGGCAAGCTACCGAGAGTATCTCGCCTGCATAACAAAGCCTGGCAAGCTACCCGTGACTTATTTGATATGCCAAACACAGTAATAAGAAGTCTCAAAATGGAGATGTTACTGGGCCCGCTTGAGCAAATTGATGAACAATGGGAGGACAGTGCTACAGTGCATTGCAGATTTTGTATTTGTAAGTGAAATATGATTTTCTCTATCCTTAATGTCCTTTTCATAGTTTAGAGCAATGTCCTTTTCTGTATAGACACAGAAAGGCAGCTAATGCTACGTTTTTATAACTTGGGAGTTAACTGACTCTGAATAATATTGACTCCTATGCATCTGTCATATTTACTCGACTTAAGCCTCAATTGCCCTTAGTTATAGCACCCCAAAAGTAGGGTGCTGATGAAGGGACTTGGGTGGACCCAGGGCAAGCTGCAAGTCACCCTGGCATCAAAAGGGTACAGGTCAAGCACCATAAAAATTATAAGAGCATGGTCATGGACAAATTCTGTCATGACCCAAAGAGAAGAGAGTGGACAAGGACCCTGATGGGTTAGGAAAAACTAATCTATTTTCTGAGATATATAGCAAGACGTCTCTAGGAGAGCCACCCTATAAACTTATATATCTCTTACTGTGTACATAATGACTAGATAATAAAAAAGTAAATTTAAGATAACCATTTAAATGGTTATGGACTAATGAAAGGAGAAATATGGCCTTAGATGAAATTATGACCTTGAGCAGATCTCTAGCAGGATGGGATCTTTGTCTTAGAAGCATTTCCAGGAAGAAAGGGCTTGTCATATGTTGATTGTGCTAGCTACCTATGTATTGCTACCCCCAACCCTTGGTGATTATGCTCTCTAACTAAGGCTGTGAGACAGCATGAGGGGGAAACAATCTGAGACAGGAGGAGACTAGCTTGGGGGACAGACAGTGAGACTTGAGATTGGAATAAATGGCCGTTGATCACCAACCAGTCTGGCCCCCGTTTCCTCCTTCGGCCACCGAATGCACACTGTGCATGCCCAAACTTTTTGTAAACATGCACTTTTACAGTGGAGTTTTCTACCTGTCCCATACCTCAGTCACCCAGTTTCTCATGCTTCTGGATAACCATAATTGTTCTGCTTTCTATTGACTGTAAGGAAGTAAACTAACAATTCACAAATGATAATGTGTTTCACAAAGATGAAAAGAGCAGAGTGGAAACCAAAAAAGGTGGGGGGCTCTTATTTTACATAGAGAAAGCAATTACCCAACTCTGGGATGGAACAACTATCCTCCAAATACACTGAATGTAATGCCATCTCTGCACTGTGTTCACTCAGATCCCCGAACTTTTAAAGATAAATTGGGCCTTTTTTATACTGATCCTTCTCTGTTTGGTTCAGCAGGGAAGGATAAGCATTGTTCTCAGAACACAGGATAATCTCCTCTGAAACCAATTAAACCTCCTTTTATCATCAAGCATTAAGGAATGTGATCCTAATTTGAACTTCTTAAGAGATGATTCAGACAGTTCACAGCCACAAAGCCATTACAGTTGTTAAAATACAGGAATATTTCCATATCTACTACAAATTTTCATTTTGTAGAGCACCCTGAGAGAAACTCAATTGCCCAGAACCTTCTCTGCAATTTAATTTCCTCATAGTTTTTCTGGGCTGGAGCGATAGCACAGCAGGTAGGGTGCTTGCCTTGCACGTAGCCAACTTGTGTTCAATTCCTCCGCCCCTTCGGAGAGCCTGGCAAGCTACCGAGCGTATCCTGCCTGCACAGCAGAGCCTGACAAGCTACATGTGACATATCTGATATGCCAAAAACAGTAACAACGAATCTCACAATTTGTTGTGAGATGCTACTGGTTCCTGCTCGAGCAAATCGATGAACAATGGAAGGACAGTGCTACAGTGCAGTGCATAATTTTCCTATAAACAAATTAAAAATACCCAATAAGTACCTGGGAGACTTCAGAATGTCATTTCATCACTGGGACCAAATTTAGAAAAGTTTTACCTACTGTTGCAGTGGAAGCAAAGGAAACAGGCACCTCTTTATAGATACCATCTGGGTGATGCATACAAGAGGTAATCATTGGTTTTTATCCAAGTGAGCTGATTAGTTGTTTTGTGTATCAAATCAGATCAATATGTTTTCACACCACCTTAATATTGCGTATAACCAATCAGACACGGGATTAGGGATCCATATAGCAAAAAGGCACGGGTTATACACTGTTGCAAGATCCAACTGCTGGAATTTGCTGTTATGGAAGCTGTCACTGGAAAGAAGCTATGCAGGAGAGTTGCTGATGAGGCAGACAGAAGGCAGAGAAGGCTATGATGTGGGAAGTTACTTGAAGGCACCAAATATTTCTACTTTCCCCATTGCACCCATTACACAAATCATTGCATAATGATTTGTGCTTTGTTATACAGTGATTTATACAATGTTCCTTCACAATCTGCAAGATCCAGGCACTTGACCTCCAAAAGCAGTCTTGCAGTATAAATTGATGTCAATCCAGAAGTATTTAAATTCGAAGGAATCTCTCCCGAGTACCCCTACTGAGCTATGCACTGTGTTTTCCTCTATAGTGTCACTTAAAACGTACTCAACCACTCATGGGAGGTCTTGCTCCGTAAGTTCCAGGTAGACCCTTCCTGATCCCAGTTGGACTCTCCCAATCAGATGTCCCAACACCTTCTCTTGGCTAAGCTTTGGTTAGCTGGGCGAATTAGATGAAATCGAAACGTGTTATTTTTAAACACTTCACTGGAAATACCTTTCACCTTTTCACCTCACTAAGCTCAAAGAAACGCTCCTTTGTACACTGCTTCTACTCTTCTCCAGGACCACGTTATAGGAGGGACAAAGAGCAACACCTCTAAAAATGGGTCAGGATCTAGGCACTCTTTGGATTCTAGCTTCCCCTGACTTTCACCTGAAACCAGCGCAATCCTGACCCTACCTAGCCCTTTCCATTCTCACTCCTCACAGGAGTCCCTGCTCCAGTCTCTCCATCAGCACTGCACCGCTCCGGACAGCTCAGAAGTCATCCCTAGGACTAAGTTTCCTTTTGCCTAGAACCCTCCCCACTAGCACACTCGCTCCAGCCTCGACCTTACCTATCCCACCCTCTCTGGTGCCCCATCTCGATTTCCCGGGGCCACGCCCCACTATGTGAGGCCCCCAGTGTTGCCCCGCCTCTGCCCCTTCCCGGCCTCCGGCCAGCAGCTCCACCCTCACCTCCGAGAACAGTGCCGCTAGGTGCTCCAGGGGCGCCGCGGGCAAGTCCCCGCAAACCACCGCGCCGCGGAGGCCGCGGGAACCCGGCGGCTCCCCGCCAGTGCGCAGAAAGAAGAGCCCCTTGGCCCGCGGCGCGCCGCCCCCGGGCCCCGCGTCCAGCCCGGCCTGCAGCGCGAGCCCCCCGGGCCCGGGGCGCACCGCCAGCACTGGCCTCGGCCCGGGGCCTGCGCCCCCGCGCAGAAAGGTGCGCAGCAGCCGCTGTCCCTCGGCTGCCCCGGCGCAGCGCTCCCAGGCGCCCGCCGCCGGCCGCAGGCACAGCCCCACGCGGGCCGCCAGGGCGCCGAGCCGCGGGTCCGGGGCCATTTCATCCTCCTCATCCGGCCCGGCCAGCGCCGTGCCTTCCTCCCCGCCAGGCATCTCGCGTCCCGGGCTGCGGCGGTTTCCCAGGCGACGGGGACGCGGTCGCTGCGCCCGCCTCCGCCTCCCTCCTATTGGGTGCTGAGGCCGCATATTAGATCCTGAGGCCTCCTATTGGATATGCGTGTGCATTCTGATGCCTCCTATTGAATACCTCTTTTGGATTCTGCTGCCTCCTATTGGATGTTCCTATTGGATGCTGATGTCTGGCTCCACCTCTTCCCGCCTAAATGAGGCAGCAAGGGTCCTGGGGCGGTAGAGAGAATGCGCTGGGCTGTTGCTAGGAGACGTTATGGACGCCAGCTTCCTGAATTGTTTGACTGGAGCTCAAAGGCTTTACTGTCTGTGGAAATGGCTTTATAGATAGTTACGGGAGGGGAGGTCATGGATATGAATGCTTATAAGGATTCTGCTGACTAAAGTCAAGTTAAATTCTTTAGAGGTCTCCAGACAGCTAAGTAGTAGGATTCTCCTACCTATTTTATTCCCCAAATATGTAAGTTGAGCATAAGAAAACGGTCGAATCAGTTGTATGGAGATTTGTTTTTATTTCTTTTTATAAAGAAATAAGTAAAATAAAATAAAATTTTATAAAATAAAATAAAGCATAATAAATATTTATTATATTTATATAATATTCATTTAAATATATTTATATTTATGGTTTATTTTATAATATAATATTATCACTGTCACTGTCCTCCCATTGTTCATCGATTTGCTCCAGTGGGCCCAGTAACGGCTCCATAGTGACACTTGTTACTGTGTTTGGCATGTCGAATATGTCACGGGTAGCTTGCCAGGCTTTGCCATGCAGGCGAGATACTCTGAGTAGCTTGCCAGGCTCTCCAAGAGGGGCGGAGGAATCGAACTGGGGTCAGCCACGTTGGCTACGTGCAAGGCAAACACCCTACCCACTGTGCTATTGCTCCAGCCCACATAATATAATATCCTATATTTTATATAAATAGATATAAATAGATATATTTCATATATATTTGTATATAGTTCAACTTAATAATTATTTCATTTTAAATTTGAATATATTTAAATAACTATTTTAATAATTAACTATTAAATTATTTCATTTAAATATAAAATAGTTCAACTATTTCAAAATAGCTCAACATATAGTACATATATATTTATATATGTGTATATTTATATGTTAAATATATGCATAATATATAAAATTAAATAAATAATGGGCTGGAGCAATAGCACAGCGGTAGGGCATTCGCCTTGCACGCAGCCAACATGGCCGACCCGAGTTCAATTCCTCCACCCTTCTCGGAGAACCCGGCAAGCTACCGAGAGTATCTCTCCCGCACGGCAGAGCCTGGCAAGCCACCCGTGACGTATTCGTTATGCCAAACACAGTAACAATAAAGTCTCCAATGGAGACGTTACTGGGCCTGCTCGAGCAAATCGACGAACAACGGGAGGGCCTTTACTTTTAAATAAATAATATTTATAGTCACTTAATCACTTAATCACTTAACTTCCCGTTAGTCCTCGATTTGCTCGAGCGGGCGCCAGTAACGTCTCCATTTGTCCCTGTCGCGTGCTACTGTAGCCCAATGGCATCTCTTCGCTCCGGGAACATGGAGGGCCTCAAACCGATCGTTCATGATCTTGACAAAGAAGTCTGACCATCTGGTAGGTGGGCGGCCACGCGGTCTCTTGACATCCCGTGGAATCCAATCAGTAACAGCTCTAGTCCAACGGTCGTCTTTAAATCTCATTACGTGACCAGCCCATCTGATTTTCGACACCTTGGCATATGAGACAGCGTCCCTGATCCTTGATCGTCGACGGATGTCAGAACTCCGGATTTGTTCTCTCATTTGAGTGAAACGTGTTATTCCAAGCATAGCTCTTTCTATTCTTCTTTGGGAGACCTGAATGGCGTTCTCATCTTGTTTGCGTAGGGCCCAGGTCTCTGAGGCATATGTTAATGCAGGAAGAACAGTGGAATCAAAGAGATGTGCCCGGAGCCGGAGGTTCTTCGTCCTCTTAGCTATTTCTTCGACGTTCTTGAAGGCGTTCCAAGCCGCTCTCTTCCTCCTGCGCAGCTCGGGTGCCAGGTCATTTCTCATGTTGACCTCTCGACCTAGGTACACATAGCTGTTGCATTCGGAGATGGTCGTTCCATTGAGAGCGAATGGGGCATCAGGAACAAGGCTGTTTCTCATAAACATTGTCTTCGTAAGATTCAGCTGTAGTCCTACCTTTCCACACTCACGGTCAAAGTCGGCCAGCATTTGTGCCGCTTGGCTGATGTTTGGTGTTATTAAAACAATGTCATCAGCAAAGCGGAGGTGGTGTAGTTGCCGACCATCTATCTTCACTCCCATTCCTTCCCATTCCAGTCGTCGCATGATGTTCTCGAGGGTGGCACTGAAGAGTTTCGGTGAAATGGTATCACCCTGCCGCACCCCTCTCTTGACATCAACGATCACTTCTTTGTAGAATGGTGAGATCCTGGTAGTGAATCCGCAATACAGCTCACGGAGGATCCTGATGTATTGGGCTTGAATGCCCTGATTGGCTAGGGCTTCAATGACCGCTTCCGTCTCAACAGAATCAAAGGCCTTCTTTAAATCAATGAACGTTAAGCAGAGCGGCATCTTGAACTCCCGAGAAACCTCAATGAGCTTGGTTATCGTGTGGATATGGTCGATGGTGCTGAATCCTTTGCGGAACCCTGCTTGCTCGCATGGTTGTCCTTCATCTAGTGTTCTGCCAATCCTATTCAGGATGACTCGAGTGAACAGCTTGTAGATGACAGACAATAGGCAGATCGGGCGATAGTTGCCAATGTCATGGATGTCTCCCTTCTTGAACAGTAGTACGGTCCTGCTGGTTTTCCATTGGGACGGAACCTTGCATTCAGACAGGTAGCGAGTGAAGAGCCGAGCCAGTGTATTGATGAGTACTGACGGCAGGTTCTTCAGGTGTTCAGGTCTGACCTTGTCTGGGCCGGGTGCTGTTTGCTTCTTTACCAACGAAATGGCGTGTCGGATTTCGGAAGGGAGAACGTTAGGAACGACATACCCATCCTGTGGAATATGGTATGTCGGCAAGTGGACATGGCTATCGAAGAGATTTGAGTAGAAGTCATGGATAATCTTCTCCATTGCCGTTCTGGAGGATGTGATGGATCCATCAGGACGTCGGAGGGCAGTCATCTTGGTCTTATAGTTGGCGAAGGACAGGCGGGCGTTACGAATACTTTTCCCGGCTTCTGCCGCATCTATCAGTACTTCTGCTCTTCTCTCTTTGAGGTCTTCCTTGATCGCATCTCTGCACTGCTTTGCGAGCCCGGACGTTAGCTTGCGGTTGCCTGAGGCATGCGCCAAACCACGCTGGCGAATTAGCTCAACAGTTTTCGAAGATAGGCGACTTTTTGTGGCTATCTCTCTCTTGGCGTTCCTCGCACATTCATGGAGGTGCTGAACCAGTCGATCGTATTCCTCGTCAATGTTGTCAACAATGGCATCTTCCCATGTTGCCGCAATAGTACCAAAGAGTTCCCAGTTGGTGGTCATTCTAGTAAGTTATAAATATTATAAAATATATAAATATAAATATATAAATATATAATATATTAAATTATATATTAAAATAAGTTTATTTATTTAAATAACATATTTATTAAATAAAAATAATTTATTAAAAATAAATAAAATTTTATTTATCCTCCAACCAGATCCAGTAGCTAGACAGTTACACCCACCAATAGCCGTGTAACCCCATCAATGGCCAGGATCCAGAGACTCTAAAACCAAGCTCCCAGAACCTCTCATTCTCTAGTTCTCATTCTCAGAGAACCCAGCAGGCTACTAGAGTATCATGTCTGCATATATGCCTGACTGCGATAAAATAATGTTCATCTAGAGCAAATAGATGAACAATGGGGTGATAGTGATTTTATTAATTATTTATTCTTTTAATGCTTTTCCAGTGAATTTTTAATTTCTTCTCCATGATGCCTCAGATACTTTACAACACAGCTGATGTGACTTCTGAGCATTTGAAATGTGCTACAATAACTAAGAAAATGGATTTAATCTTTTATTTGTTAACTTAAGTTCTTCACATTAGCTAATAACTATTATATTGTATAGCTCAGATTCTGGATTTTTATATCAATTATAAAAATGCAAGGCAAATGCTCTACCCACACAGCGGTAGGGCATTTGCCTTGCCTGCAGCCAGCCCGGCCAAGCTGGGTTCGATTCCTCCGCCCCTCTCAGAGAGCCTGGCAAGCTACTGAGAGTATCTTGCCCACACGGCAAAGCCCCAGTGACATATTCAATATGCCAAACACAGTAACAACAAGTCTCAAAATGGAGACATTGCTGGGCCCGCTCGAGCAAATCGATGAACAACAGTGTTTGACAGTGACAGACAGTATAAAAATGCAAGATTTTATAAGTTTCTGCTTCTGCTCTACCTTACAGGTGTGCCTAACCTGAGGCTGCAATGAATTCTTAAATGCAGCAAGAAAATTGTTAATATATGTTGTTTAGAGCCGGTCCTAGGAGGGGAATCTTGATTTTAACAAGGGATAGTGTTATGTGTGAATCTCTGGGTCAATACCTGCTCTCTCTCTTTCTTTCTTTCTTTCTTTCTTTCTTTCTTTCTTTCTTTCTCTCTCTCTCTCTCTCTCTCTCACACATACACACACACATACACACACACACACACACACAAATAGGGCATGAGGCTATGAGGGTATGAAACACCCCTCCTCATTAAAGAAACTAAATGTGTCCCTGTTGAGTTCCAAGACCATGATATGAGAAAGTCTTCCCTTTGTATGTATATAAGGTGAGGCTGTGTGGGTGTCAATGAGGACAACCTCATGTAAGACGAGGACGCATGGATGACAGTGAGGATGCCCTGGACAGCATAAGGCCTTCAGGTCTGAATTGAGTTACCAACTACAGACTATAGGGTTTTGGAG